GGTACAATGCTTGGACACAAACCAACTGTAAAAAGAACCTGTTTGACAAACGTGGTTACACTTCAGTGCAGCATATAAAGGCGTGAAAGGGTATTTAGTTGAAAGGTAATACATTTTTCAATGGCTTCCCATTGGAGGGACTCGGGGGGCATTTGTTGAAATTTGTCAGGCATGTGGGAGTAAACATCAGTTGCATACCTAGTGGTTGACCCCTAGGGGCTGTTTGTAATACTTAGCCTAAACTAATTATAGGTCAGGGGTGTATGGTTCACAAGTTCTTGTATTGCATGGATGGTGTGGGCTTTTTGAAGTCACAAATGCATGATTTTAACTTGGAATTGCAAGAGAACAAAGAGAGCCCCACTCTAGGCAAAAGCCGCTTACTGATGCATACACCCTGTTTTCAAAGACAGCTTTTAACTTACAAGGCCTGTAAACCTAACAGGTTACAATACACATTGCAATTGTGCACACTAATGAAGGTATTGATAGCTGTAGTTGACAGATTTCCAGTAGAAAATAGAACCTCTTCATCTTCAATCAATTTTCGGGATGCTATTTCAGGATCAAAGAGGTCATATCCACTACCTTGCATGTCTAGTATCATAAGCTCCTTCGCTGAGTGCTCGTAAGAAAAATGAGCAAGATTTTCTGCTTTCTTCAAAATTTGACACTCAATTCCCCATTGTTGTTTATATACTTTGTGAACTTCCCCTCAAGAAATTCTTCAATAGTGACAAATTCACCCCCTTCCATTTTACCCATAAAAACCTTTTATACTTTAGAGTTTCTCCGTACAACACTAAAGCGTCCTCTTTGGCAAGTTCGTTCTGCAACTTAGCGGCAATGTTTTTAGCTAACATGTGCATTTGAATGACCTTTTCGTATGCTGCTCTACTGTCTGCTTTACTGCTTCAATATTATCAACAGCAGCTTGCAGATGTTTCTTTACGACCCATTTACAATTATGAAAACCTGGTGTTGTACTGCTAGCTTTAAATGCTCTCCGGAATCCCCCAATTCCGAAGGGCTCCTTTTCAATGGCGAATTCGACCTCTTGTGGATTTCTAGACCAGCTCATTTGGTTGAAGTCGAAATTGTATAACTGGATAATATCTGTAGATCTGTCATGGATAACTTTCCCGAGCTTGAGCATCTCAACAACTGAGAGACTTTTGGCTACCATTTCGCTGACACATGACCCTTCCTTTTAGGTGAAGGCTCACTCTTAAACTGTTTGTTGTTTTCTTTTCATTCCTGGCACGAGGTCGGCAGCTTCATGTACACTCGAGGCAGAATACGACTGAGCTGGCTCGATGAACCGGATATACACGACTCTCATATCGGGTATTTGGGCCAACGAATAGCAGGATGGACCTTGCTCTCCAGCAAGGAGATATCACACAGCATGTCATTTCCAATAATTGATGCGAAGTGTTTTTTGCAGGCACTTTTGATGTTAGCTAATGTCACCTCCTCGTAGTCATATGGTACAAACTCTCTCGGCCCAATACGTGAACACTTTTGCGCTTTGCCGGACACTTCCGCGCTTAGCCGTTGGATAACAACCCTCTTCTCTTGCCAGTATGTCATGGCTCACACCACCCTTCTTACCAGTTCTTTTCTCCTTCATTGCTGTTTTGAAATTTTTCCACGCCGCGGCCATTTTCCCCTTTTTAAAATCGCAAAGCCTTGTGGGCTATGGCAACGATAGACCACGGTGAATTTAAGTTGATTTGCGTGTTACTTTTTCTTTTGCTTTTGTTTTAGAAATTATTTGACAAATGCGTTTCATTTCGCTCTCGTTTTAGCACAGAAGAGAGTTGTTATTTTCATTTTCCTCAGCCAGTTATTTTTAACATCAATCAATTCTTTGTTTTGATGGTACTTTGTTTTTAAAGTTGTTTTGCTTTATAATTCGTTTTTTGTTGCATTTGTAACTGCTCAGTAATTTAATTTTGATTTTACTTTGATTATCCAATTTAATTTCTGATTGAGTTGGTTTGGATTTTATATCCGATATTTTTGAAAAATCTTAAACAAAACAACAAAAAATATGAATGGCAAGCATCGGCCACCATACTGCTGTGCAAAACCTCTATAGTCGTGCGGAGGTTACCCATTTTATGGTGTGATTGCGCAGTGCGAGAGCGTTGAACGGGCCAGTGAAACGGCCTCGTAGCAACATTATTGCTTCACACTTATTGGGGTGGGGAACCAGGTTGTTCTCTGAACTCCGATCTTCTAATTCCTTTAGTGCGTTGTTGAGCGTGTTGGTGACAGAGTCCACTGACTCGCCTATACAATAGATGGTCTTGTCGTCGGCGTACATATAGAGAGATGCGGAACTAACAGCCTCGGGTAAATCGCCGGTATATAGGGCAAAAAGTGTTGGTCCCAGCACGGACCCCTGAGGGGCACCAGAGGTTACGTAAGCTTGGTCAGAAAGTTCTCCATTTACAACTGTGTATTGTTTTCTTTTGCTCAAATAGTCTCCTGCCCAGGCGACTAGATTCCTCTTCATCCCGTAGTTATGCTCAAGTTTGTGTATTAAGATTTTATGGGAAATGCTGTCGAACGCTTTTTGGAAATTGATCAATAGTACGCCAACAACAAGGTTAGAGTCCAAGGCGCGTCTCCAGCAGCGGAACAGCGATAAATGTTCCAGCAGCTGAAGTAACCGTGGTAAAATGCCATCGGGACCAGTGGCTTTGTTTGTCTTCAAAGTAATAAGTTTGTTCGCAACTTCAGCGTATTATACTCGTGCATCGTATATACATGGAGCAAGCATAGGTTTTATACTGCTGATTGTCAAGTTCTATGGGTTAATGGTGTCAGTCAGTTTCATTCCAACAGTGGCGAAGAAACAATTTAGTAGGTTAGCTTTCTTGTTATTATCAACAGCGAGGGACTCGTCGTCACGTTTTAGCGGGCGGATTGGTTTTCGAGCTCTAGGGTTAGTTGCTCTAGGCAGTAGATTCCAATAAGCAGAGGTGGTTTTAACTTCATCAAATTTCCTCTTATAATAAGCTGATTTGGCCTTTCTTATGTCAGAGGATATTTCGTTTCTTAGTTTTTTGTAATCGGCCCACTTATCAGTCTCTTCGGATTCAATCGCTATCTTGAACAATTCGAATCTTTGGGTCATTTTAAGCTTAATTTGTTTGTTAATCCATGGAGAAGACACGCTTCGTGCTTTCACAACTCTGCGTGGTGCGTGTTGGTCGCAGACACTGCTGAACAATTGCTCCCAGGCCCACAGGGAATCATCTTTGTCTTCGAAGACTGTTGTTATGTGAAATGGTATTCGCTCAATATCTGTCTTAAAATTCTTGTCGTTATAATTTTTAAAATTTCTGGTGCGGATAATTTTGGGTGGGGGGTCTTTTGCTGTTTAGCTTGAGTTGCGTAAGTAAGACAGTTATCTGATAATCCAAGCGGTAGAACTCCAGAAATTCTGACTTAGTTCACCTTGGTCGTCACGATCAAGTCGATCAAGGAGGTGTAGTTGGTGTCACACGAGTAGGTTCGTTTACAACATTCTGCATATTAAAAAGGTCGAACAGATCCAGTAGCTTCCTCGTTTTGTAGTTATCTATAAGGTCGGTACGTTCTCTGGCGCCCAGCAGGTCACAGTTAAGGTCGCCTAGCAGAAAGATATTATTTGTTTTTCATCTAGGCCTTCTCTAGTGTGGGATGTAGATTATCGAAGAATTAATCAATAGTCTTTCCGATCTGGATGATTAATATGTTTTCATGGCACATGCTGGAATTCATCGTAACACTCAGAGAATTTATCTTTCACAATGAAATGTGCCTCCTCATTCTGATCAATGATGAATCTTAGTTGTGTTTTTCTCACTCTCTGTCGATATTGACGGATGGGGGCAACCAGTGCAGTACCATGTCACTGCCATGAAGTTCTTTCTTGGCATCTTTCAGGCTTACCCTGCAATCTGGATTTACACATTTTCTTCTAGTCCTCTCCATTGTTGTTTGACATACAGGACAAACACGCTTTCCTTCTTTGGCTTTAATGTCATCTACTCAGATGTCAACATCATCCTCCCACACATCTTCAGTTTTTGACTGCTCTTTAAGTAACTCCTGAAGTAGCTCATGGATTAGTCGTTTGTTCTCAGTGCAACAAAAAAAAATTCAATTAAAATTATTATATTCAATTGAAAGAATTGCATTTTAACTGTAGACACGTTCACAAAATAGGCTTGTCGTAAAACAATTATTGTATAATCCATAATTTGCCGGTTGAGCCTCAAATTTGCACAAAGTTTTTTTCTCCTGGTGTTTGTTTTCCTAGTTGGAAACTACATTTACAGGAAGATGACCTTTCTTGTACACTTGTAATTTCAAATGTTTAATTACCTCATGGCGGATCATTTCATTGTCAGGTTCTGAATCTGAACAGGCCTTTGCCAGCTTTTCCCGCTCATCTGGACTTGCCTTCACTTGCTCAATGCGGTTGTGCCATGCTCTAAAAGAGAGAACCAAAATTAGTAATACTTGGTATCACTACCACTACCACTATTGATTACATGTACATGACCTTCAAATATGCTGGCAACAATTTCAGGAAGGAGCTGACTTGTCCAAGATTTTGCTCATTAAACAAAACAAATCCTTGTGTATTTCAATAACTATTTGACCATTTTTCAAATGTGTTTCTTACCCTGGAGCAAGATTTGAATCCAACTGCAATGTTCCATGTGGATAAACAGGTGCCACGCAGACACTTGTTAGTACACTGATTTGTGCCTGGTTATCTTTGCGCACAGTCCACTTCCTGATAAGCACATGGTCATTGTCAATAGCTGTCAGAATGTCACCAGAGGGAACTTAAGGGACCTCCATTGTTAAATTATTTAGCCAGGTTTTAACAATGGTGTTTCCTCCAGCAGGATATTAAGGGATATTAAGGGCAAGTTTACTACGTGTCACAGAGTACACCAAGAGATTTGTAGCAAACATCAATACACCGATATCACGTTGCCGCCATCTTGGTTTGGTGATGCATCAAAGCGAGGCTGGGCGTGCATAATTTGCAAAATGGCGACTGCCACTAATGTGTCTCTTTCGGCCTGGTCCAAATCATTGAAAAACATTCCTTTAGTAGACAATTCCTTCATAGAAAAGTGGCTGCAGAAGCTAGATAAAGTCCCAAAGAAAGTTAGAACGCGAGGTTACAGTAATTTTTGCGAAGGATATGTCTTTGATGTCGAAGGTAAGATCATCAATTCTTTTCTTCGCTACTTTGGCTATTTGTTGGCATTATTGTATATCAAAAGATAGATTCTCCGGAGTTTTGATGTCTCTTTTAATGCATTTGTAGTTGCTGTCTTTATGTTCAATATTGATCGAAATCAAAGCGAAAAATCATGCGTTTATTGAAGTGTTTTTCCCCTCTAGTTAAAGTAGAACCTTGTAGTGTGACAGTTCGAGCTAGGAGCTACAGATCACAACGAAAAAATGATGAACCGTGGCGACTGCAGGTACGTTCATGCCTTTAACTAATTGAAAATTATTTATTAATGGAAATCATAACTGTTTGATGTATAATTGATACATCCATTAAGAGATTTAGATGTATTTTTTTGCTATAACAGCTGAGATTGAATATGTTTAACGATGTATTTCAATATTCTTGAGTTAATAAACAGACCTCATATGCTATTATATTAAAAACCTTTTTAGCAAAATACTTAGAATTATGTTATCTTTTGCATGAAAGTTAAAATTTTCTTTACCATATTGTTTAGGTTGAATTATCAAGAGAAAAACAGTCAGTTCTTTCCCAGAAATGCAACTGTGAAGGAGGTGCTGGTTTGTGTAACCATGTGATTGGTTTAATGTACCTCATTGCACACTACCAACTCCTAGATTTGCAGAGTGTTCCTCCTGCAATGTCCAAGACTTCATTGCCTCAGACCTGGCATGTACCTCAGAGAACTGTTGGGATCAAACCCAAAGAAATAGATGAGGTGGTGCTACAACAAGTGAAAGTTCCACTTTCACTGCCGCAGCCAAAGAAGAGAATTAGGAGAATTGATGGTGTGAGATCAACCTTGTATAATCCCATCCCAGATTGTTTTGGAAGCAAAGATATAATATCCACATTCAGGGAACATTTTAAAGAGCATGAAGATACACAAGTTAATTCAATATTACGACCAATGGAAGATCTCTCTCTTACCTCATGCAAATTTGGTGATGTAGCAACAGGAAGTGTACTATCATATCAGCAAAAGATAAAGAAAACAAACAATCCAAAAGTTCATGTCAAAGTTGATGGTCCTGAGTTACCCCCCAATTATAGTATGCCTACAATTGACAGCCTCTACCTGTTTGCGCCAAGTGCTGGAGAGCAAAATGTATTAGAGGGTCTGTGTGTCTCATACAACCAGTCATATTTGTATGAGACAGAGACCAGAGAACAGTGTGATACAAGCAAGTGGTTTGACCTGAAAGCCAAACGGCTTTCATCCAGTAAATTTAAAGATGTATGCAGCAGAAAAAAAGACTTTGAGTCCCTTGCAGAAAGACTGTTAAGAAAAACAAAGCAAACAGAGGCAATGCTTCATGGCATAAATACAGAAGAAGAAGCTGCAAGTGCATATGCTGACACTAGAGACTGCAATGTTTTTCCTTCAGGTATTGTGATAAACCCCTCCTGCCCATATCTAGCCACTTCCCCAGACAGAAGAGTTTATGATCCAAGTGAAGCAGACTCTTGGGGACTACTTGAAATAAAGTGTCCCATTAAAGATTCAATAACTGACTTAAATTATCTTAAATGTGTGAATGGGATTTATAGACTTAAGAAGACCCACTCCTACTATTACCAAGTAATGGGTCAGATGTTACTTAGTGGGGCCCCATGGGCTGATTTTTATGTTTACTGTAAACAAGATTATCACCTGGAACATATTGAGTTTGACAATGAATTTTGTGCAGAAATGAAAAGCAAACTTGATCATTTCTATTTTCAATATTTACTTCCACATTTTGTCAAAACTTAACAAAACTTAATCAGTCCATTTTTTTTAAATGATGACATGTCTCATCATAATATATACAGAACATTGTGTTCATGAATTTTAAATATTGCATTGTATCATTTATATATTGTTAAAAGCATTAAAATAATGCCCCTCTAAGATTTGTCATCAGACAACAAACACACCAGATTTGATTAATAGAACCAGCTAGTGATAAGGGAAGGACTTTGTCAAAAATTTGGTACTCTTTAACTCTTCTTATGGCACGTTCAACATGAATTCGCAATCGTGCAATCTGTTGGGTCTCAGAAACTTGCTTTGTACTGAATTGCATTGATTTGGTTTTAGAAAGAAAAGGGGGGATTGTGACTGTAGCCTTTTTACATTGTAATAAATCCTGAATTAAAAAACCTTTATCTACCATGACCTCATCTCCTTCCTCAATTAATGATAATATACCACTGCTTCGGGTAATTTCTTTGTCAGATATGCTACCTTGGTAAAGAGAACTGACAAATGTCACAGGGCCATGGGGTGCGATCCCGATTAAACATTTATAAGTAGTATGGGATTTATATGAAGAATAAAATTCTGAATTAAGAACCTTTGAGCTAGGTCTCTGTACCTTAATCTCTGTACAATCAAGAATTACTCTTGTTTTGGGGTATGTACTCTTAAAACACTCTGGCATACTATTCTGAATTTGAACTTTTGTTGGCCAAATTGGCAACTGACCAAGAAGGATATAAAGAAAATTTGCCCATGTTATTATAATTCTACTGACTGTGGGTTTAGTGATATTAAATCTAACTGCAAGGTCTGTTTCAGCTAGGCCAAGTCTAAGTCTTATCAGGAATAAAATTAGCTGATCATAAAGAGACAAAGAAAAGCTGCCATAACTATTTCTACGTTTGAAGTTCTGCCTACCTCTAGCTCTTTGTATTTGAGACCATTTGGTCATCTTAGTTGCATACGGTTCTACCCATCGATAAAAACTATCAAGTTTTTCCTTTGAATGAAAGCCAGTGTAAAACCTTGTCAATTCTGGACTTCCAGTAATTCTTTCAGAACCAAAAGAAGTTAACAAAAGAGTAGCTATCTGAAGTTCAAGTTCCTTTACTTTTCTTTGTGTTGACGCAAGTTCTTCTTTTAATGCAGTCGTGACTGACTCGGCTTCAGTGTTTATTTCGGCATTAGTTTCAGTGCTAACTTCACCATTTATTTCAGTGCTAACTTCGGCATTTGTTTCAGGGTTTGTTGTGTTGTAAGGTGAGTCAGTCTCCATTGCAGCATCGGTTCTATCGGCTATTCCTTGTTCCATTTCTGTTATATCTCCTGCTGCACTTGGTAGTGATTCCACTTCTATCTTTTGCTTTTTAAACTTTTGCAGGCTATTATCTGGACGTCCTTCATGTTCTTTAGTCCATTTAAAAATCGACGGGACAGCTCCTTGCTTCAGTCGAACCCTTCCTGTCAACGTGTATTCAATGTCACCCGGCTTGAAATGATCAGAACATACCAGTGTCGAATTTTTCTTTATCTAAAAAAGAGCAAAAATAACTATCTATAAACAGTATTTAACACAGCAACAGAAACAGTACTCAGAAACTTCAGACAATCAGAGAAAATTTTCCCGCGAGTTGCCATAATATAAACAAATAGACCGGTCCACGTGTGGTTGGTATGTTTTTTACTTTTTGTCGAAATTACTACATATTTCAGCCCCAATATACATAAAATCAATCGCAATTTCTAATTCCATAATAATCAAACCAAGGAAAAAAGAATAACTCGCGATTTTTCTGTTTAACAGCGGAATCACAACTACACGTGTGTAGTAGTCATCGCTGAGACTATATTGTACTAACTTACCTTGAATAGCGGCCCAGGATCTCGTTTTATAGCGATAATCCACTCTTTTTTCTTTTCTTTCTTGGAAGGGAAGTTGAAGAAGTATTTATCCTTACCATTTTCATAGCGTTTATCATTCGTACATAAGTTTACACAGCAGTGGTAGTTAGACATATTTACAGAGAAAACACCGTGACCTTATTATCTTTGCACGCCCAGCCTCGTTTTGATGTATCTCAAATCCAACATGGCGGCAACGTGATATCACCGTATGGGCTTACAAAAGAGGGTTATACAATAGAATACAGCTGATCTGCAGTTACTGCCTTATGAACTGGCTGGACACTTTCATGGCTAAGAGCATTGATTGCACATGTCAAAAGCGAGTTTCTGGCCTGAATTCACGTATGAGGGGTCACATTTAACATGGCAGGTAGATTTTCGTATGTTTGACTACAAGATAAGATGTCAGTTTTCTTACTTTCCTTTTCTGAGCGAAAAATTGTTGAAGTAAGCAACGGTTTATCTTCAGTACTTAGCTTATTTATGTCATATAGAATGTTATCTCTGTCCAAGAAGATAAAATTGTAGTTTTCTGCCAGCTTTCTGGCACATGTAACTGCCTCCTCTTTTTCCATCAACACAATGTTGCGCATAACGGCAATGAACCCCTGACAACAATTTTTTTCCTGCTCTGATTCGATGTCTTCGCCACTTTCGGTCTCACTTCCACAAGTTTCTGTTTCTTTCATTCTATGAACTGTTTGGAGATCTTACGGGGATGCCCTTTTCCTTTTGATTTGTTGGCCCTACAAGGACAATTGTCCTCAGTGTGGCTTCTCCACACCTGTGGTTCCTTCTTTGTGGCAATTTCCTCTGGATCGGGAACGGTGTGAACTCTATAGGGAAGTCGCTTGCACCCCGAGCAGATTAAGGATGGTTGAATCTCTCTGCTGTCAAGATCGACATTGATTTGGAATTTTCATCCAGAGCTTCGATTTAAAAGCTTTTTTGTTTGCATCACTGACCCTGGTCCGCGGCAGATTTGTGCAACAAAGACGACAAAGTGTCTCGAGATATTGAATATGTTCATCCATGTCGTTGGCCTGATCTGAAATTAACAATGTAAGCTTATAAAGGTCCGATAAATAATTGTCCTTGTACTCTAAATGGCCCGGCTACAACGTACGGTTAAAATTTATGGTTTACACAATACTCTGATGGATTTGAACAAAGGGCAACCGCCCAATAATTTGCAGACAAATAGAATTTCAACATCCGTGCACTCGAACAAAAACCATGTGCACTCGACTGGAATTTTGACAAATCAGAAGCAAATTTATTCTAGATTTTCAAAAGATTTTTGCATGAATAAAAAAAAATGTTACATACCTGAAAATCTCAACTAAAGAGAGGTTATTCCTCAACCGAGCCCATCGCAACAAGCACCCCCACCCGACTTTCATCAAAATATTTCTTTCTCAACATCGCGACCGCCATCAACTCTTTGCTTATTGCGTGTAACTGCTTTTCTTCTGTAATTTTGCAAGGTTTCATGGGATATGCCTACGAAACAAAGCCGTTAGGGTTCGAACAAAGTAAGGAAAGAGTTTCCTTGAGGTCCCACAGCGACATCCATATTGGTGACGTCATCCAGCATCCAGAAATGGCTATGACCCGGTCTGGCACGCGGTCTGTCCTGTAACTTTTGCAAACAGGACTGCATGTATTTCTAACACCCGTCCCACGCTGTGAAAACCTTTTGCAGGGGTGGATCCAGGGAATTCAGAAAGAGGGGGCTGAGTCCCCCACCCTCCACCCGAATCAAAAGTTCACTTTTCAGGAGATGCAGCATACAGCATTATGGGTGTATTCATGATGCAAAGTAAAGTAATGTCAACGTTTCGTAAGATAGAATTAAAGAGCATTTTATAAAACGATTTTCAAAGGAAAATCGTAGTGTTAGTGGTAAGCGAACTGTCAACAGAGTCATTGCATTGCATTTATAAATCCAGTATTAGTCGAAATAAGTCACTGCAGTGGATTGATAAATGTCATCCTTCTCTGGTTTCGTTTGGTGTACTCGTCAGCAACTGCACCTAATTTTTATAGGTATGCTTTGTGAAAAGAGCAGCAACAGTGCATTTAGACGTTCTTCTCCCATGGTGCTGTGTCATGAAAGCGTCCAAAAGAATTTATTTAGGGATATGAAAATAATTATTTTATTCTCCTAGGATCAATGTAGTGTGTGATATTTGTGTAACCTGTTGTGTAATTAACCTTTATTTTAATATAGCAAATAGTTTTCTTCCTTCTTTTTTGGTACCTTGCGTCCACATGTATATAAGGATTCGGGTGGTTACGGTGTGAGGATTTTTTTTCTCGCTGTTTTGAGAGAAGGTCACCGGCGGTGAAGGTTTGAAAGTTACGAAGACTCGTTCGGATCAGGGCACGTTTTAATCACTGAAGAGTCATTCAGTAAAACCGTTCCTTTACACGACAAAGTGTCCATTTGCTGGGGAGCGCATGTGTGCCGAGAAGCTGGCTGAAGAAAGCGCAGAAGAAGGAAATGGAGAAGATTATCTTCTGTCAGACAGTAAGCCAGTGAAGACAACTGAGCCAAGAAAAATCTGAGGGAAGACCGAATTACGTGAAGTTGGAAACTTCTACGTTTAGCTGTGTTAAATGTGAGTTTGGTTTGTGAATCGTGAGTTTGGTTTATCAGTGGTTTGTTAGTGGAATGTGGTTGGATTAAGGACAGGTCAAGCACAGGGACGTGAGGGCAAACTGAACTGAACCAAAAAAAAACCCCTAGCTTTTTTTTAATTGTATCTTGAGAGTAATAAAGGCTGATAGTTTCTAAAGAAACTGTAAGGGGCTGCGTCGGTGGGGGTAACGAAATAATTTCGATATATCGACAAAGTTGAAATGGTAAATTGGCCACCGTAACAATTACAAAAGCTGACGTTTCGTGCTTTAGCCCTTCGTAGGAGCGAATAGAGGAATTGTGGGTTGTGTGTGCTTTTAAAGGCAGAAAACGGAGCTACGTTATTGGTGGGAACATGGCAACGAGAAAAACACGAATAAATTAGTGGAATGAAAAGCGTTCGTTGATTCCTGTGGGATTTAGACTGCCGGTTTGAAAGATGAGCTAGTAATACTTCATTAAGTAATACTTCACTAAGATGAGAGTAATACTTCAACGATCTTATCAATCAATTACTTAAGGCATTGTCACGTCATGTCGCATTATAATATTACGCATTAATTTCGTGTTAGAACGAACGAATTGGGGTACAGGCTTGAGCTGCAGGCTTTTGATGTCTCCTGCAGTGTCGTGGGTTTTAGGGTAACGTTGTTCCTAAAAATAAAAGCAAGAATGAACACATTTTTTAAGACAAGGTATAATCGTGTTTTTCGGCTTATCACAGTTCCAATATAAACTTGGTAACCTATGTATAGCATTAACGCAGAATAACATACAGGAAGCACTTCCACAGCTCCGGCTCCGGCTCCTACGACGCACTGCTTGGAGCCAGCAGATCAGGGGAATGCTGCTGAATAAGTTTCTCTTGTGAAGACTCGTTAAGTTGCAGTAAGTTGGCAGGTATCAGTAGCAGAACAAGCAATGCCGCTTTTGGTAGTTCATCAAAGCGGGTATTTATTTGCTCCAATAAGTTGTCAAGGAAGAGAAGAAATATTGCCCGTCGAAAGTAGGCGACTGGTGTCCTGGCATTGGTGTTGTTTCTTAATGCCTGCCTACCACAAGTTCGAGGGATGCTTACCTTGACATTTGCTTCCATAGCCATTATCTTGGTCTTTTCATACACAGAACTTGGAAATGCTGTCATAGTATTCTAGTGCATGACTTTCAGCTGTTCCTTCACAATGTTAACATGCTTGTGTGCCTCAATAACATCCAGTGCGAACCCTGTAACAAACGGCTGAGTCCTACAGTCAATCCAACAAGGTGCTTGGCAGTGTAGAAGGCAGCGATGAACACAGGGTTCTTCGGGCTCTACATCTACTTCATTTCTTTCTTCCTCAGTATCTCCATAATCATCTTCTTCTGAGCCACTGTCTTCATCTGTGGTAACTGTATCACTGCCAGTTTCACATTAACCTTCACTGGTATTTTCTTCTCTCTCGCTAACACTCACAATGCATTGTTCGAGCTCTAGCTGTCGCTTTGGTGAATACTTAAAGAAGATCCCAACTGATTTTAGTGTGCACACCATGTGGTATATCTCAGCGACCTTTGATGCATGCGATAGTGTCAAATTTAGTTCGTGGCTTGCACAGTGAAGATACAATGCTCGTGCATCGCGCCATGTTACCAGCCCCATCGTATGTCTGAGCTCTGCACATTGTGGAATCTAGTCCCAGGTTGATCAGTGCCGGCACGATATGGTTACATATGGCTTGTCCAGTACAGCTGTCACACTCTGTATTCTACCAGTCTCTCAAGAGGTGCCCCATTGTAAATGTACTGTACGACAAGTCCGAGTTCATCATCATCATCATAAACTTTATTTCATCTCGAATTTTAGAGTAGCTTGTTGGAGCTAATATCTTCGAGAAAACATAAAATGGAGATTATCTATTTATATATACATATATATTCTTACATATATCTGTACAAGATCTAAAATACTAACTATACTAAAATATACTAAAATACACAGTATTTAGAAATATAATTAGGTAACATATCAGTAGAAATTAACAGAAAAGTGAAGATAAGCGGGAGCGACTATACAAAGATACAGCCTTGGATTATCTTTCTAAAGTCTTTAAATGCACTCATGCGGATATAGTCAGGCAGTGTATTCCATAGCTTAGCTGAGAAGTATGAAAATGAATTAAGGCCATAACTAGTTGTTCTAGGTTTTCTAAGTGACAGTATGTAATTACCGCGAAGATTATAAGAAGAGGACCGAAGTGAAAACATACCTCTCATATAAGCTGGAAAATGAGTGAAAAACAGGCTCTTGTACAATAAAATAAGGAAATTCTGGATACGCCCATTACATAAGGAACTAGTGTTGACCTTAGTCAGAAGGCTATCATATGGCGACAAGTAATCCCTAAGTATAAATCTAAGTATTCTCTTATTCAGCGCCTCTAGTTTATCCGTATTCCGCGCCCCGCAAAAGTGCCAAACTGAGGAACAATAATTAAAATGCGGTAAA